AGCTTCCAGAAGGAGTTGGGGAAGATTATGGCCAAATGCAAAGCAGGTTCTGCCAGCACCACATGGAAAGAGAGCTTAAATAGCTAGGGTCAGTGAGTTTTCAAGAAATGCAGGAAACCTGGATTGTCTTTCAAGTGTATGGATGTGAATTTTAAAAGAATTGGGCACCAGTCACCCCCCAGAGGTTCAAGCCGATCAGCAGCTTCCCGTCTGTAATACCTACCCAGAAGCCAGAGTAGAAGATTTGAGACAAATCCCATCAAGCAGGGAGATGGCTTGAGGGTCGGTCTGCTGATAACCCAATCTGCCTCCCCCACTGGGCTCTGGCTAGGTGGAAAGAAGTTTGAGATGCCATTTCTCATCATTAGTCTTCACCCTAGAAGAGAAGAATGACTCTTATCCTTAACCCTAGGATAGAGCCACCATCCCACATCTGTGGTGGCAGAGGAGACAGGCCACGGGGAATCGTGTTGGCAGCATCCTTCAAGAGGCCAGATTCTCTGAGGCATCCGGACACCTTGCTGACAGCTAAATGGAAGGCGGTCCCAGGCCTCTGGCTACTTGATTTGATTCAACTGGACGGATCATTGTGATTGGATGATAGGCAAATGTTTCCTTCTCCTCTTCAAGAGGTGCTAGACCACAAGCTGTGATTGGGGGATTCACTCTTCTGGCAGGTGTGTCTTGGGGAGAAATTGTCCTCCTTCCCAGGCAGAATGGGTCCTGCCTGTGCTGCCTAAAGAATAAAACTGGGTCCAACCAAAGTCAAAATGCCAGGAAATGTCCAAACTTCCTCATAGGCCATGCTGCATTGTCTGCAAAGTCCTTTGAAAACTGTCCCTGCACTCAGCCTCCAGGGGATGCAGCGTGGAAGAGTAAAGATAGAACAGAGGCCACACAGCAATACGGAGAAAGAAAGAAAGCAGGGATGAAAAGACGATGGGAAGTGATCGAACCCCCCACCCAGGACAGTGCGTAGCAGAAAATCTGGAATAAAAGAGTTTCCTTCTGATGGACCTGCTTAGTTTCACTGGAATTCTCCAGAATAAGAACTGCAGGCTGGCATTTCTGTAAGGCTGTGAAGGGGGCCCCCTTCTGGAGAAAGTCCTCATCAGGTACCAAACAAGATCAAAACACACAAAGATGAGCGTGTGTGCACACACAACCACAGACCGATTTTAGGCTGTTAAGATAATGTGCCTGTCATCTAGGTGGGAATTGAAAGTGTAGCTATGTCTTTTTTTTTTTTTTTTCTGCCTTCCACAAAAACAGAAGTTATCTGGGCTCCTTGGGTAGCTGTGCTTTTAGACAGAAAGGAAGGATGAGATTTTTCAAGACCGGAGCTCTCCCTTCCCAAGAGTTAACTTCAGAGTTAACTTTGGTTGCCACAGCAAAGTCCTAGGTCCTGAAGATAATGTCATGGTGGGCATGATTTTTTCTTTCTTTCTTTTTCTTTTTCTTTCTTTCTTTTTTTT